CTGGAGATAAGGGAGCACCGTGGCCATTCCCAGCCTTGGACAAATATGTCAGCGTCCTGTTCCCAGCCAGAATGGCTCTCCAGCTCCCCCCAGTGCTGAAGAATCAGCCTCTTCTCAACCCCAGGCAACACAAGACGCCACAGCTGGGTTCTGTCTGACCTGTGCTGAGGAAAGGGGACAGGAGCAAGGAGGAGAGGCTACAGTCCTACATCTCCACTCAGATGCCCACACTCCAGGGCGTGACTGCAGGGGGCCAGGGATCCGACATCATGAAGGGATCAGAAAGATGGCTTTGATGGCTTTGATATCCACCCACCACGCCTACGCTGCTCCTCCAATTAAAGAGCTGTCACTCACTCGGAAGATCTCGGGGGCTGGAATTTTCCTTTAAACTCAAGAAGGTTTCCAGAGGGACAATAATAATTATAACTTCTCTATGTCAAGAGGAGGAAAGTGACCCAGAACCTCAGATCACTGTGTTGCTTTTCTAACAGAAGTGGGTTTCCTTGATTTAAAGCCTAGCCATGCAAGGTCTAGCCAGCCTGCGGCCAGGCCCCCTTAGCTTCTCAGAGACACTCACAAGCGCTGTGCCCTAACCCGAGGATGGTGACCTTGCCCCCAAATCTGCTCTTTCTGCCCTGCTCACGAGCCCAGCAGCAGGCATTCTCACCGATCCCAGCCAACTTCCGTGGCTTCTGCTTTTGTGTACAACTTGTCTCTTATTTGCATCACCTCTCTTAATTCTGCCTCAAGAGAAAGTCCCAACTCCCTCCTGGACTCCAGCCTCCAGTGTGTCTTCCAGCCCAAGACTCTCAACCACGCCCTGTGGACATGTTAGCAGGACCTCCTTTGTTCGGGGATTGTGCTGTGCAGCATAGCGTGCTCAGCAGAGTCCCTGGTCTCTAACCCCAGATGCTAGTAGCATTCCCAGATGTGACAACTCAAAACACATGTGTATATTGCCAGTGTCCCAGGGGTTTTTGTCTCAGCCATGTATTCAAATCAGCTGGGAAGCTATATTTAAAAAGACCAATGCAGCCTAGTGTGACGGCTCTTGGCCAAGAATCCCAGCACTCTGAGAGGCTGAGGCAGGAGGATCACAAGTCCAAGCCCCACTGGGCAATTTAGCAAGACTCTATCTCCAAACTTTAAAAAAAAAATTTTTTTTTTAAGGAGCTGAGGATATAGCTCAGTGTAGACTCTGGGTTCAGTCCTTGAGCTCCATCTAAGACCAAACAAACAGAGACTCTGGAGGACAGTGAGTGGATATCAATATTTTTAAGCAGCATCCAGGGTGAAGAAGCACTCATACCCTGTTTCTAGAATTATTCTGCAGCATGCAAACCAATCCACCTTATTCGTTCTTGGTTTTAAAACATCAATCAAATACTCAGTAAACACAGAAAACATCACACGCTCAGCATGCCACTTGAGCCCTCTGGTTCTGGGCTCTTGCGATCAACCAACCTGTCCACCCACCAACACCAGAGCCAGCCCTTGTGCTCTCTGGGGGGCTATTCCAACCCTTGAGGAGTCTTCCAGATCATACATCTGTGGTTTATGTCTGCCTAATCTCTACCCAACCTCGTGGCCAAAAAAGGACTCATCTTTCATAATTTGACTCAATTGCAAGCCCCCTTGTGAAACCTGCTCTGATTCCCACCCAACAGGTAGACCTGACCCCACCCTTGGAAGGTGTGGTGACACCACGCGCCACAAGCCGTGCGACTCGTTCCTCTCCTTGTTCAGACATCTGTCTTTCTCTATGAAAGCTAAGCTTCTTGGCATCCCCAGCAGCTGGCAAATCAGTGTGCCATGATGTGTAGCAAAAGAGTGACACAAGCAAGCGACATCGCTCTCCACCCAGGCCCTTTTGATTGTTTCTGCAATCTCTTCTCAAGCAAAGACACCGAAAGCTACACAGGAAAGCTAAAGCTACTACAATGGCACCTAAAAGACCAGCCTCATGGTAAGTCCCAAGAGCAGATGTTGCTGGTGGCATGGTAGCCTAGGCGTCACAGAGACGGGCAGGCCAGCACCAGAACAAGGGCCACAGGAGGCCACTTCCCTGTGCTCCTTAGTCCACTGTGTTTCCTTAGCCAAGTCCCTCAAAGCTCTTGGCCTGGTGGGGCGTCTACCTCTTTCTAAGCCTAGGCAGCCCTGCTAATGGCCATGTCTCCCCAGCAGCTGCCCAAGCTGGAGAAGCAACATGAGTGAGAACCTCAAGAATCACAGAAGCAAGGGCCCTTCCCGAGCTCAGTGTGAGGAGCATAGGACAGTGAATGAATTCTTTCAACTCAGGGAGAGAAGACGCAACATCCATTCCTCTTACCCACACCAGTGGTCTTCTTAACTTACAAATCTGCCCTCTCACTTACCTGTTCCAAATTCTGTTACTCTCCCTATGGGACAAAATCAAACCACGACCAAAAGGCTCTCCGAGGGCCCACTACAATCTCCTTTATCTCCACCCACCTTCCCACCCTTCCCTTTATACTTCAAACTCCATCGACTGCAGAACAATACAGTATGTTCGCAACACCCTCCCCTCCAGATTTCCCATGCCTCGGTGCCTTGGTACACACCGCTCCTTCTGTCTGGAGCATCTTTCTCTTTCTCTCTGCCTGGTACCTCCCATGTGTCCTTCACTTCTCAGCTCTGCATCCCCAAGACACATTGAGCCAGGACTTTCCACTGCCTCTACTCTATCCTATATCATAGAAAAATTCATAGCGTTGTCTCACATTTGGGGGCAGATGATGCCCACTCTTGTATTGTCCTGGTTCTACATAGTGGCTGTATCACTTAACCTCTCTGAGCCTCAGTTTCCTTCTCAGTAAAATATTTATCATAACCACTATCTTATGAAACAGATGAGATGATGCATATCAGCCCCTTGCCAAGGACACAGCACATATCACAACATGCCCTGATGAGTGGAGGTTGCCCCCTGCACCAGGTGCACATTTCTGGTCTAAGCCCTTCTTTACAAGGTAGACCATCTTAGTCTTAGGGATCCTCGGACATGGGTTCTCGAGACCTGTTCTGCACACTTTGCTCTGTCTCCTGCTCAAAGGTACTCTGTGACAGGACCAAGGGTCTCAAAATATGCAGATAGGGTTGTAACAATCAGCACAGAGCAGAGAAAGCAATAATGGGAGTGCAGAAGGAAGCTGACCTGCTCAAGGGTCAGCAGAACTTGCTTTCACAGAGGATGGGCGGTGACCGGGGGCACAGGAAGATGAGGAGTGGGAACTTGACAGAAGGGAGAATTTTAGGAGCCTGAGGCACGAAAGAACACCAAGTTTCTATAGAGGTAAAGAAGTTCTTGAGGTGAGAGCCCCGAGTGCCTGCAGCCACCATGTCCTGCTTCCTGGAGGACAGTAAGGGAGGCAGGTGGGGAGGGGGAGCCAAAGATGGGGCAGAGCAGGATCCTGAGCAGCCCGGCTGAGAAGGGAGGGTTGCATCCTGTGGTGGGGGAGCCTTCAGGTTGTGGTGATCACCACTGGTTTGGGAAAGAAAACTGTGCGTATGAAAGCGACCAAGGACGAGGGGAGTGTGGAGAGAGGAAAGGGGTGGGGGCTCTGGGTGGGGACGAAGGCTGGCATGGAAGGAGCGGTGGCTAGGATGGGCAAGAGAGGAGACGGGAATGGAGGTAGGAGAGGCTGGGGTGGGTGGAGAGGCCGGGGTGGAGGTGAAGAACCCTGGGGTGATGACAGAGAAGCCCGGGGTGGAAGTGAAGGTGAAGGTAAAGAGAGGTGAATACCAGACAGCAGTCAAATAGAAAAGAATGTCCAAGATTCAGTAAGGAAGTGGAATGTCTCCAGACATCACGCCTCAAAACCTCCAGGCCAGTGGGTCCTTCCTGGGAGGAAATAGTCTGGGATAAAACCTGGATGATGAAGTTTGGCTCTGAGACATTGGACTTGGGCAGTTCCTTCTGCTTTTAGGAACAGGCAGCTGCAACGTGCTGCTGTGGGTCCTTTCAGGGTAAGATAACATCCTACCTGTTTTATGGACAGACCTCACACTTCCACCGCCGGAGTGAGCCCAGCCTTTTTGTAATTGGGAGACCGAGTGAGACCCACTGACCTGGTGTGCCCAGGACTGTCCAGGTTTTAACATTTAGCAAATCGGGGCAGCTGACCACTGACCAGAGCAATTTGCTGAGCTCCAGGAGCTCAAGGCAGGGCCCTGGATGTCACAAAGCATTCAGCTAATTCCACTCAACAGGATAAGCCTAAGAAGATGGAGGCTGTGCTGCAAAGTGGTCGTGGATGGGAGGGAGGGAGGGCAGACAAATGACCTGCCACCTAATGCCGGGGGGATCTCTCCCCACACTCACGGTCCCCCAACACCAGAACAAGACGAAGCACTGTGTCTCCAAACACGTAACTCCACAAGTGCGTCCACTGCTCCTTATGTCCACCCGGGGTGGACATCCTGTGCTTGGTCACTCGGTCTCAGAAAGCTTTCCAACCATTCTGCTACTGGCAAGACAGATGGAGACACAGACCCACAGCCTCAAATGAGGGTGTCGGGGCATTGTAAGTAGCTGGCCCCTGATCCTACAAATCACAACATTTTCATGGTCTAGATATACACACAAACATTTTAAAATAATGCAGTTTTGGATCGGAAAAATGGCCAAATATGTTAATTTAACAGCTGAGAGTCTTATAACAGTATCCACAGACTGTCTCAAATCCCACACAGCCGAGGCTGAACTGCCTTCTGGCACCTTCGTCTCCGAGTAACAGGTTGTTTTCAGCCTCCCGCGGACACATCGCAGCTGGCTGCGGATTCTCCACTATAAACAGTTTACACAAAAGCCTTATTATAGCCCTTAAAAGCAACACACGAGGTAAATAAGTCATTCGATGCGACCAATCAGCGGACAGAGCAGAGGGACGCCTCTTCCCCTGCCCAGCACCCCCTCGGACACTCCCCAGAGTTGGTCCCCGCCCACCTGCCACGGCCAGGTGAGGGACCCCGGTTACCTTCTGCAGAAATGCCATCCTCGGCCTGTACTGCTGGCCTTGGTGTCGGATCGTCATCCCGGACCCTGGGTGAATTCACGATCAGAACACCAATGCGAGAGGAGAGGAAAAGCCCCC